CAGAACTGTCTTTCCTGGCCGGTTTGCATTACCCTTAGGCCTTGCCATGCAACACGCAAGCTTTGACACTCACATGGACAGCTTCGCCGCTTCGCTGCTTCATGGGCGTGGCAGATCCTTGATGTCCGTTTCCCCAAGGTCCCTGGCAGACCTTAGTAACTTAGTAGTAGACATGCTAGCACCGGTGTTAATTACACAGTGCGGCGTTGCACGATGCAGCGTGGTGCTGTGCTATGCCGCTCACCGCACGTGCCAATCCGTGCCACACTAGTGCTGTGCATTTGGCGCTCGTTAACTCAACGCAAGACTCAATTAATTTTGCATTCTTTGACTCAAGTGGCAGCGGCGAGTCTAAGCCCATTGACTTTAACTGTCCATGGTCCCCTCTCCAGGGCGCACGCTCGCTTTGAGGCTTTGCTGGTTTTGTGCGCCTCACTCAGTCTTGGCAGACAACATCACTTGTAAACAGGGAGCAAGAAGCACGAAACGCAGAGTGAACATTGAAAAGGAGTAAGGGCTTCTTGGCGGCTTGCGTAGTCCCCTCGAAAAGTGCAGCAAGAACCCTGAGCCCGGTGCCACGCGGTTCCACTGCGAGCGCCGCCGGCAGGCATGTGGAACAACATCCTCAACGCAAGCAGCTATGAGCTATGGGCAAGTCTGTGAGAGGCATCACAGATCGAGCTGCAGGACTCATCTTTGGCTGAGGCTTCGACTGTTGCTCTCGGCGACGAGGCTGTTTGCCCTTGCGCGGCCTCACCGCGCTCCACGGACTCCACAGTACTGCGCACGATGCGCACACGACCCCAAAGAGGATGACGGCACATCGCGACATCAACATCTCACTCACAGGAAAACGACTCAAGGCCCACCAAGGCGATTTCGATCACAGAATGCGCGCGGCAGGTGAGCGGGAGCACGAGGCCAATTGTGATCGGCGAGAGGCGAGAGTGCTTCCACAACGTTTGGTGAACTTTAAGGCGTCATTAACGCTGCCCTGCTTTTGAAGTCCTCAAGTTTTGCATTCTGCATTCCGGCAAACCCATGACCAGGATATAGCGCGCTGGAGCCTTCCTTCATTCCGCGAGTGGTCGCGTACAAAGGCGGTTTGCACCATCCGCCGGAATTCAAGAGAGACCCCGAACCTGGCGACCTGGGGAACCGCTCAACACGATTCCAACTCTCTATCCGAAGCGCTGACACAAGTCAACCGTGGGTGCACTACAGGGTGATTTGGATCATCGCTGTTCGACACGGCACTCCAGCCAATGATCTCTTCAACGTGCATCCTAAGCTGCACGCGGACGGTCCAAGCTTGTGGAAGCCGCAGCCGCCGCCTCAGGCATTCTTTGCTGAGACTTGCGTAGACATCAAGAATCTCGACTGCAGTCTCGACTGCAATGTCAATGTGACTACTCTTTTCGGGTTCCGCTCAGGACCGCAATCTAAGCTCGCCTCCACGGGCTTCTCACGGTTTGTGCAGCGACCGCAGCACAGCAAGCCCCATGCCTGGCAGGGGCGCGCAGCGCAGAACACAAACAAACTCTGTTGCTTTCCCATGCCCACGCACGCCTCGCGGATGAACTCGTCCATTCTGATTCGCTCCGACAGTCTCAAGTCGGAATTGAGCGTTGAACAGCTGCAGGCGTACAAATGCTTGGAACATGCGTACGACACTGACCACGGTATACCACGGTTTCGGCGGATCTTGCAGAGGGGTGTGCTGCCAGCCTGTCACTTCAGAATTTGGGGCGGGCCTTGGGCACGCACATGCCCTATAGAAGGGCCCTCTCTAGTCCGACTCAGCATGAAGAGTCCTAAACGCTAAAGTCGCTAAAGCACAAGGTGTCCATGGAGCCATGAACCTCGTGTTAAACCTATCAAGAACTCCATGCTTACAGCCTAGAGCCTCGATGAAGATCATCAGTCCTGTTTAGAAGTCCTTTGTACGTTGAGATCCTGAACAAGGAGATGCAAACGCCACTTTTTGAGCTGGGGAGAGCAGCGCTTCATAGATCCACTGCCTCCTCCACCTGGCACCCCAGCACGAAACCCTTCCGGTTTAGAGAATAGGTTTTCAGGGTTTAGGGATCTGCGCCAAAGTAAACCGGCTTGCCTCGTCAACTTTTCGTCGCTGTCTTAATTCTGCCCCGGCAGCCTTCAATTCGCAGCATCAACAGTTTTTCCAGGACACTCGGGATTGCAGCACGGAAGAATGCAGGAAGCCGCCAATCATGCGCGACAGCTGCGGCTAAAGCGAGAAATCCTCGGCCTGCGACTCTCGCGCCACACTTGATGACGATCCTAAAACCTTGGGCCGGAAAGAGAAAGCAAAGAACCGGGGTGCATTGTTTAACTTTCTTCGCTCTGAAGCACTCCTGTTTAGCAATTATTGCAGATTGAGCCAACCAGACTTGCACACATGAAAGAGCTGAGAACGGCACACACACAGACACACCCGCACGCGGACGTGCATCCACAAGAACCACACGTGACCACACCGCACCGCTTGCACCAAAGGAGCAAACTCTTTCCCGGACTCTTTCCCTAACGTCCCACGCCACTCGACCCTCCTTTGCTACTTTGCACGGGGGCCAACCTGTGCAAATAAATTTCACTGGTCACATCTAGGCGAGGGCACCTTCATCTCCACCTTTTCCTTGATCTCGTTGATTTTTTCATCAACCTGCACTTGCTCATGTCCAAAAGATAGGCCGAGGCAGAAGTCCTGCTACTCCCTTCGCTGGAGGGCTGGCATGCAGGTATGCAGCATTCTGCAGCGAGCCCCGCAATGCCGCGGGAGGTGGTGGAAGGGTGAGTCTAAGAAGTCTAGAGACTGCCAGCCAAAGCAGAGCTGCGCGCCTTGAGGACCATGCTTCGTAGCAGGCTAAGTCCAGTGAAAGACAGCAGGTAGTCGGCGAAGAACTGTCAAATTCAAGCTCACTCAGTTTTGTCCGCGGAACTATGTGCAGGGTGCTTCACATGGATCGGAGCCCCTTGCTAGATTTCGTCGTTTCTGGTTCCACCGACTATTCTACATTCTTCTGCTCCTCAGAGTGCAAGAGAGCTTCACGATATCATACGATACTGCATGCATCCTTGCCCTCCACATCTAAGCCCAACACCAGGATTTCAATCATCCCACCAAGCCAGGACTGGAGATCCGAATAGTGGGGCATCTGCACCTGGCGACTTTGCAGTGTTTCCATATGAGGGGCCGCTCGAAGGGCTTGTTGCTTGAGGAGCTTGAGATGCTTCAGGATACAGTCCGAGAGCCGTTCGCACAGATGATAACGAGGCGGAGAGCAAGATTTTAGGCACCGCAAGCCGCAAGTGGAATGAGCCCGCGAAGAGTGCTTCATGGGAAGACTTCTGCTTGTCTATTAGCCCATGATGATTTAAACTTCATGTCTTGCTGCAAGGAGGTTGTCCCGAGCGTGGGGCCGGCTTTTCGGGATTGGATGGGATTGGAAGATACCTGCGCCTCGAGGTTGACAAAAGTTGAGTGCGTGCCTTCCGTGGACTAAGTTCGTGCGCCTGAATGCCCAGTGCCATGAATGGCCATCGCTTCCGAGGTCGCATCGCGGATGTGCATCGCAACGCAGTTTCGTTTCTTGTGTGCTTACACAGGGAATCCTGCTGAAGTCGGACCCAGTGGGAGCAGAATGAGAAATGAGCCTCTGTTGGACAAGCAGCGGACAAAAATTGAGTCTTTTTCTGCGCCTGTCCGCCGAACCGAAGCAGGCCTGCTCGCGACAACTTTGTGAGACGATCGGAGCACTACGAGCTACTAGTTTGGAGTTTGTCCTTACTGTAGGTATTGCGAACATTGCACAGGCTTTAATGTATGTAGGGGTGTGTGTATATACATATATATATATACATATTCATATATATATATATATATACACATATGTTTTTGGTGTTCATTGTGCGGAGTCTCGGTGTCTGTGGGACAAACACGGACATACGCTGACCTCCCCAAACTTAGGCACATGTTTGCCATTGCACAGCGTTTTTGAGTTTGCATTTGCCTGCAGATTGCAGTTTCCAGCAAACAAGGCCAGATGCATCAGGGGTTCGGTGATGTCCTCCTACGACACGTCCAACGCTTGGAGGTCGTGTTACGACCTTCTGAGGCACGCCGGACCATTTGTACAGTATGCCTGCGGCAACCAATTCGAGTCTGGTGCGACGCACAGGCACCCAGAAGCACTCCTGCAATCCCTACGCTCACTCTTGTCTCTGTGGGGCGAGACGGACTAAAGCCTGTTGGCGCACAAACAAGACACGAGAAAATTCAGGTCGTGCATCAAATTCGCTGGCATGCAGCCGCTATCGAATTGAAGCTGGGTGCTGCGCAAAGCAACGCCCACCTTCTCACATGGTCTCTAATGCTGCCCGCAGGTTATTCAACAGCGCCCAAAGCCCGTTTGGCCTAACCTGGACAAACCAACTAAATGAGTGTTTAGCTGGGGCAACATCAGATGCTAGATCTAACACAATCTTGGCCCAGACCATGCAAAACCAGGCCAACAAACTGCTCTTGGACCGCCGCCACTAGCGCAGCAGAATTCCAGACCGTCCAGACCTGGACCCTGCTTGGATTCTTGGACGTCATGATGTCTGATCTTCTCGCAGAGGCTGCTTGCTACATTGCTACATGATTCGAAATTTAGGAGGACATGTACAAGCCGCATGCTACACATGGTCAGTCACAGGGGCAATCAGGCTATTCATTCTCACAAGGCTGCTTGCGAACGCTCAGCTGAAATAACTCTGCTCACATGCCACGAGCTTGGCCACCAGAGGCACCAATGAGTTGAGGTCATCCGACCTGCCATGAGTCGTGCTACCACGTATGATAGAGGGAGACACGCCTTGATCTGGCCTGTCCGGACTTCGCACATTCACTGAATGACTTGGCCATACGCCTTTGTATTGGTGTTCAGCCTGGTTACAAGGGTCATTTGTTTGTCAACTGTCAACTGGGCCGGCCCTGCGCCGTCGTGGCTTCGCTGAAAGCCTGCACATCACACTGAAGCATTCAGCCTCTGGCTGCACACAGGTATTCCATTTGCGGTTTTTCTCGCAACGGTGTGTGCCTGAGGGAGTATGGATCGTGAATGAATGGTCTGCAGCAGCAGCTGTGATGGGTGACTCGTGTGTCCAGACAAAGTCCAAAGGCTTTCTCGGCCGACCTCGTCAATGTCCTCCGGAAGAAACATTGAAGAATCTCTCGGCCTGCAGGGATGGTTCAGGCCGCTGGGCGAAGCCGCGCTGCGGACCCTGAAGCAAAGCAACCCCTTCCGCGCTCTTCACGAAAAATCCTGATCTTGCAACAACACTCCCTACCTTTGAAAACAAACTCTCCACTCACAACCCCACATCCGCCACACAAGTGTGCGGGAAGTGCCCTGCTGTACACCCTTTCCACAAGGTACAAGGCCCCGACCAGGGAACCGAGATGCCGGAGAGACTGTTGACCTGGGAATAGGAGAGGCACTGGAATCTGCAAAAATGCTTCGCAGTCACCTATGCCTTGGGCCCTTGCCCATTCACTCTGCAGCCCAGGGAACCCAGACTAGCACTCACTAATATGATTCAGCACGCCAAGCATCTCCAGATATCTCCAGCCACGTGTCTGCCGTGGCACGCACACATGCTCTGATGTGAAGCAGCTTCGGACTCCCAACTTCTACCGCTGAGAATGGCGCGGTGGAGTCATCTTTCGTCAGGCTTTTGTACAGCTTCTGCAGGGGCAAAGGCGAAATTCACAAGTAATGGCGGAGAACTGCAGTGCCAGGAAGCATGCAAACCAAGTGACAACTTTCCGGGTTTGCAGTAAACTACAGTACAAACAGTTGGAACATCCTTCTCCCATATCCCAAAAGGTATACCAAAATTGAATCCCAGCTCTAATCACTGTTAAACAATGTTCCAACTTTCTGGAGATTACTGTGAGGGGCTTCGCTTCCGCAGCAGCCGAACACATACTCACAGTTCTGTCAACCACGGCCGTCCTGGAAGCGCTGCGTTCCCATCCGTGCCTGCCAGAAAGTCCATGAGCTCACGTGGATTTCTCGCTGACGGGCATGCAGCTTGCAGCTCTCGTCGGCTGTCTACGGCGCAGTGGTCGAGAACTGGAAACTACCAATACGCGCCAGCTGACTATGTTTACGGGGTTCCTAAACCGGGCATCTCCCTCGCCAACATCCAACCATCAACAACACTGGCACTCCTACTTCTGAGCGTAGTTTCCTAGACTCGGCCTCCAAGCAGGCCCGGATGCCCTCAATCCGGTCACCGATGCCTAGCAGAGGGCACAGTAGCCAAAAACTCATTTTGGCAAGACCCGATATACATATATATATATATATATATATATTTGTATATACCACATATATATGTATATATATATATATAGACGTAACATTTTGTAACTTTATACCCCTGTTACACCCCTGGTCCTTGCCTCCAAAAGACACTCGACCACTGGATGCGGAACCCCACACCGCAAGCCCTGTAAACCCTGAAAGGCCCGCCAGACCAATCAAATCAAATCCCGAAGCAATGGCTACTGCGCACTACTGTAAGCCTTTTGGTGTTCGTCTCCTCAATGTCAGCCTGGTGTCATCTGCCAAGGCCCGGGCTGACGCTCTTCTTCGAATCATCCAACGTGCACTTCCGCACACCTGCCGGAGAGGCAGCGACATGCGCATCTGTGAAAAGCGCGCTCTGGTTCAGCTGAAGTTGCACCGATATGCCTGGAGGATCATCGCAGGGCGCCTCACAGACTATCACCGATTCGTCTGGCAGGTGGTGCTATGGACGACGTAGCAATGTTGGCCCATCATATCACCCTGAGAAGCTTGAAGAATTGAAATCTGAACCCAGAACATCGCTCAAATCCACATCTCTGCACATTGGGCCTCGCAACTCTTCAGCGAATGACCTTCCGCAACAGCTAGGGTGAAAGTGAAAAAGAAAGCCATGAGGTAGGTTGTTGAACCTAATTTTCTGGGGATGTCACTACGCACTGCAGATGTCTTTTCTACAGTCCTGGCGCAGGCAGAGTGTTTCCCCTCTCATGCTCGGCTCTTGCAAACCTTCGGCCCCCGATGCAAGGCACGACCGGGCCCCTGGGTTCAGAAATCTTCCAGGTACTTCAAGATCCAGAGCCCTGTAGTTTTGGGAGTATGCTTCATTTCCGGGCTTGGGATCGGGCATCCCGAAATTCTCGGAATGCCCAAGATCTGGGGAAGCCCATGCTACGTACTGATGCCTGGCATGAACCCTAACTCGCCCCTCCTATCACACCTACACGCGGACCGCCCATATCTGAGTGCGGCACCTCCAAGGGTCGATATGCACTTGGCATTCGGAAGTGGTGCCGGCTCCTGACCCCAAGACATTCTGCAGTCCATCAGGGTTTGAGGCGCATGAAAGCAGCCCCAAGGGTTAGGTGGCCGTTTAGTCCACCTATATCTTGCCGTACATTCCACACATGGCTGCGTTGGCCTCCTGCAGCTTCGCCTCTGGAGTGTCAGCCGCTTTCCGGGCAGAAGCCTCTTTGAAGGCAGGTCCAAGGACAAAGTGGTCACTTCTCATGCATACAATCGCACTGATGGCTGATGCATTGCCCCTCCCCTTGTCAACTTGAGGCCCTTGATTCTCTTAAGGCCGGGGCAACTTCGGCCTTGCCTCCCACATTAACCTCCGCATGAACTGCCGTGAACTTTTTGAACTTCACAACTAACCGCTGTATGAAGTCAGCTCCGGAGTTGACGCTGCCATGGCCAGCAGGAAACTTGCCTACAGAGTGACCTCCAATGCCACACTGTAGGGTTTCTTAAAACTTGGGATTGCACAGTGCAGAGCATTGCAAGGTCGGCCGCGGCCTCCCTGGCTGGCAGAGTCCGCTCCGGAGTGGGGCGTTGCCGCAGAGCTGCCTGCAAAGTCTTCGAAGCACAAATCTGAGTAGAACTGTCGCGGGTTCAGCTACTCATTTAGACGCCATCTTCAACTTAGCAACTGTGCATCGCATCAGCCAAGAACAATCACATAAACAATGGAACCCAGCGTACGCTGTGCGAAGGCCTGCAACGGGGTGTCGGACGGCGTCCCTCCGAGATCCGCTGGCCCGCAAGGCGTCTCGTCGGACTGACCAAGCTTGGCAAAGCTTTGTGGCTTCGGGGGGCGCTCTTCGGGTGCTTCAGGGGCCTTCACCACCAATCCTTGCACTTGCCACCACTGAGGCTCGGTAGGCGCATGGCTCGGTCTCACTAGTTTCGACATTGCTCTTTGCGCATTCCAGGAAGGGCTGTAGGTCCGGCCTCTGATAACGGAGGCGCTTCCTTGGCCCTGGTTCCAGTCCTCGGCTCTCTTATAGGCCTCTCGACATCTCTTGATAGTTGACAACCTGCCACTGAGAAAGAACTGCAACATTCCCCTGCAACAACTGCCAAGCCCAACTGTAGCTTCCGCTCAATTTGGCACAGATGGCACACTATAGCTGTCACAGTCGGCAGATGTCAGAAAGGACAGGGGTGTTGAGGCCGGGTCGTTGTCGATGACCTCCTGGAGCTAAGATACTTGGAATTGTACTGATACAGATAGCCAAGGCCACCACCAGGAGGTGAGCAACAAAACAAAGGGCATGATAAGCTACGTCATGTCGACAACTGAAACCATCCCTGACGCTGCCTGGAATCGTCAAGTTCAGTTGCGGGCTCCTGGCACAGCTCATCTTTGCAAAGTCTGCAGCAATGCAGCAATCAGTGTGAGAAGGCGCAGGGCTAGGCTACTTTTGACTGGGTCACAAGGCGTCGGCTTCAGAAGCGGTTTCGAGTGAAATCGTCACGCCCACTTGCCACACGTGTCCCACTTGGCCAGCACGGCCCAATTTCCCTGCATACCCCCTACTTGCCCCACATGCCCCGCTTGACCGCCTTCCCCTCCCCCCTCCCCGCCCCCCAACGCCCCCCACCTGCACTACGGGAGGGGACCTCTCAAGTTGTATGGCCACATTGACAAGGCTCAGTGAGTCAGCACCTCAGAGGGCCTAATGCTGGTGCTTGGTGAAGGCTTGAGGGCTCAGAGACTCCTACAGCTCACTGAAGCAGAGGGTAAGTTATGGTAAGCTTTTGTAAGTGGTTGATGATCTGCAGTCAAGGCAAGTGGGGCAATGGTGCGGCGAGCAGCGTTTTAAGTTTACGCCCTCTACAACCACAATCGAGATTTCGAACTCTGGAACGCCGAAACCTCTGGCATCAGGTCAGGAAACTGGTGCCAACTGAAATCAAGTGTGCTTGACACACGCCGTACGCACGAAGTCCTCCACAGTCATGACTGGAAATCCAGGACAATAAATTTCTGTCCTGCTGGCGATGCAACGAAAGACGGGAGTCTCTTGGGTAAGGGTCCACAGGACTGGATTGCTGGAAGATCCAATGTGACTAGGCAGAGTCTTTATGAGTGTACATTCAGGACATCATGACGCCATTGCCATAAGATATGACCACAGGTGTAGCCTGAGCAGGCAGTCCATTGAAACCCCACTGCTTGACAACATCTGATCAGTCCTCCATTCCTGCCGACTCCTTGGGCTTCTGCTTCAGGCAAGAAAATGCAGCAGGTTTGGAACGGATCATCCGCTCGTGCAACAGCCATGCTTCCTGCTTCTACGACACAGCACATCCGACACATCCCAAGGTCAGCAACTATGACGTTTGGTCTGTCCCCAAACCAGGGACGTCGAAACTCCACCCAACTGCAGCCAAGTTGCTGCGAAGGTCTCGGCTTCTGCACCCTGCCCAGAGGCTGGCTCGGGCTTGGAGATGACGCTTCCCGGGACCTCGTCTGGCTTCGAAAGCAGTGGGCATCTGCGTGTGGCTTCTGAACAAACTTAGGACTGTAGTGACTGCAGATCTGATCTAGAAACTGAAGCATCCAAGCAGCTCATTCAAGCGATCCGGTGTCTGTTCCGAGTCCTCCTGACAGCGAGCATGAACTTCGCGAGCACTGTTTGCAAACGGCAGCCACCACAAGATGAATGGAAAGGCAGCTACATCACTCTCGTTCGCAACGGATACTGGGCACCATGCGCAGTACTCTGTGGCAAAGCTTGGAGACGGCTCCTGCCACGAGACATGGGCCGACATGCTCCAAGCTCAGAGTGGCCAGTGCCAGAAGGGCTCCTCCTGGATAGGACTCTGCTCAGATATGTCGCCCCCTTGGCTGCCTGCAACGAACGAGAAGACCAGCACTTGGCGATTGGTCAAGCAGGCACCAAGTTGGCATAGGGGCCTGGGCTAGGGCTTTCTTTGCCACCTTTGGCACGCTGCTCGCGGAGCCACTTTCGAAAGGCCTGCTCACGGTCAGAATCGGATATTTAACCATCCCACGTTACTCATCATTCATCTGCCCGGCATTGGTGCAAGGATTTTGCAATGCTAGTTGGTTGCAGCCACCGCCTACTTGAGCCTAAGCACGAAGGTAATAAGACTCATGCTGGATCAGAAGCAGCGCGCTGCTGTAATCTGTAGTCCACCCCTATCTCTATTCTATTGCCGAGTCTCTCCCGAGACGGAGAAAATTCAAGGTGCCATCTCTTCTTGTGCCTGACTCTGCCGACAGCGCTCCTCCCGCCGCTGCTTGAACTTGGAGTCCTCTGTCCATGCAGAAGGCAAAACGAACACTCTGTCTTTATCGGTCCAACGTACCATCATGATAGACCTCTTGCCAAAACATGGCATGGCCTCGCCAACCAAAGGCTGAGTTTGAACAAAGTTCACATGGATTTAGCAGAGATGTCATTGAAAGGGATTGCTTACATGATGTCCGACTGTCCCGATAACATCATACTTAGCATGTGGAATCGAAGCTATGGCCTATGCCCCTCTGAAAGTGTGTGTGTGTGTGTGTGTGTGTGTGTGTGCGTTTTGCAAATGTACACGTATCGAAATTATGTACTACTACAGAATATGCCATTGTCCAGATCCACCACCTTAAAATCACACCACGCCAATGCACGAACCATAAACGACAAAATACGATAATGTGCTATTGGAATCTACTAGAATATACCAACATGTACTAGACAGGAACAGAATATACGAGAATATACAATACCATGCTGTACTATACTAGGCTGTAAAAACGACTATATACTACCGGTATACAAAAACTATGCTATACGATGCTATACTAGACTGAACTATGATATACTGTACTGTACTGTACTGCACTGCACAGATACACTAACCTCTTCCCCCTTGTATTAAATGCCCCCAGAATTATCAAAATAAACACTTTCCGGAAAATCCTGCCGAAACCGACCCCACCTTTTAAACCTTATTCCGAATTAGCGGGGGTTAAGGGCCTCAAAAACCTTCAAGCCAATCTAAACCCTGCCTCTAAAAGATGGCATATGGATGAAAACATCCCCCTAATATGAAAAACATGTTAGAACACATTTCGAGTTTCTATTGCGGGGGGGGGGGGGCATTTAATAATAGGGGGAAGGGATTGCCATTATGCGCGACTTCAGCACTAATTATGAGGTACCACAACACTACCAGGCGCACCGGCATTGCACGACCCCTAATTACAACATATTACTACCGCCTAAGCCCAGAACCCGCCTAAACCCTAAACCATCCTAAATCCTAAACCCTAGACTCTGCACCCCCCTAAGTTCTCAAAGCTCCGAGCCCACAAGCCACAAGCCCCCCCCCCCGTTGAAGTCTCGGCTCCGACCCAAAGTCCCCGTAGACAAACCTTCAACCATTGTTGTACTACTTTGTAATATACTGTATAATGTCATAGAATACGATGTCACATTCGAATGCAATCAAACATTGGGCTTTCCAGATTTTCGGACTGGGCTGAGGCGATCAACACGCAGCGGCACAGAGTTCACGATTAGGGGGAAAACGTAAAGAAATTCGGGGCAATCAAACAGGGTTGTATCAGCCATTGTAAAGCAGATGTGCATGTTCTGACACTTTTTACGCGTGCTCTCTTCAGAGATCGGGGTACATCGACGGCATGGGGCGCTTGAAGGGAGACGTTGGCTCTCTGTGGAGCACGCTTTTGGGCAAGAAGGGCTTGCAGCTCCTGGTCCCCATGTGCTGCTCCGATGGAAGCAGCCTCTACCCTAAACCCTAACCCCCTAAACGGCCCTAAACGGCCCTAAACCCTAGAGGCCCTGGAAGCCTAGTCTAGAGCGACACCATCCGGTCCTCGGGCTCGGGATCTGGAGAACGGGGCGTTGCTGAGCCACTCCTGTCGACGGTGTCGGTTCTTCTGTGGGCGGTGGTGTCGTTTTGGGCATCCTCATCTCTACGGGCTCAGAAAGCGTCTTTCAGGAAGGGATGGGAAGACTTGCGGCACGGTAGTCCCATGCACCTGGCGGTGAGAGCGCCACTTCCAGAACCTTCGCCAAAAACACATCAGCACACAGTCTAAGCTTCAAGAAGGTACGCTCTAAATCCCCAAATCCCTCAACACACCCAAAGTCAGAAGGTCCAAAGGCCCAAGTACCGGGCCGACGTAGTCCATTCGGTCTACTTGGGCTGGGTTGGACTTCCGCGGCGACCTTGCAGGGACTACTTCCTAAACATTCCTAAACCACACACCTCGGGTTTTGGAGGGGGCACTTGCCGGGAACTTCGAAGTTGTGCAGAGCAGGTTATGCACCTATCTTGTTCCACTCCGGACGCACCAGAAGCGGCGATGGCGAGACTATGCAGAAAAGAGGGGAGTCCCAGCTTGTCGACTCGAACTGAAGGTGCCAACAGAATGTTCCCGTCAGCGCCTTGTCGCATCTAGTCACATCGTGCCACAACGAGAACACAACTCTACTGTGCGAATGCTTGCCAGTCGGGCTGCACATCTGTGCCAACTTGCTCGTCGCAACATGCCACAAATATTGGCCAAGAAGAGAGTTTCTGTTGCACAGTGCAACAAGAGCTCTGTATCGACAGCTTTGAGACCCATGCTATCTCCTGGCTGTTGGCACTAGTTGGAACAAGTGATCATGCCTCAGCCGTCATACGTGGTTAATATGCATGACTCAGCGAGGGCCGAACCCTCTCAGTCAGCACTGTTGGATGTCATCTCAGGCAGACGCAAGCCCGCTGCGCAAACATACCATGCTCAGAATCCAACCCTTCGACTGCGCAACATGGATTGCAACATGGATTGCAACATGGATTGCAACATGGAGTGGTTGACTCAGTCGTCATACGTGGTTGGTCATGCGCCCCGGCGCATGACCCGGTGGGGTCATCTCCCCTTGGTCAACACAGTTCTTTCGTCTTCGGCGAGGATTGCAGCCCAGATCTCATCCCAAAGACCCAAAGAGTTGCAGCCACACATGACTCGGAATGAACCCTGCGATGGCTGCACTGCACATGGGCATCGCTGTGACATCACATATGCATCCATCATCACTCAATACTCCTCCCCTCACGCTCAAAAGATCCAGCATCAAAGTATCAAGGAAAAAGGACCTGCAAGTGATGCTCTTCTCCCGACTCTTTCTTGCTTTCTTGACTTGTGGCCGACGTTTGGGTGGTCTTCGAGGACCTTCTGGGCTAATCCCAGCGTTCAGAGGGCTACAGTCCGTTCAACAAGGGCTCTGTATCGACTGCTTTGAGACCCATGCTATCTGCTGGCTGTTGGCACTAGTTGGAGCAAGTGATCATGCCTCAGCCGTCATACGTGGTTAATATGCATGACTCAGCGAGGGCCGAACCCTCTCAGTCAGCACTGTTGGATGTCATCTCAGGCAGACACAAGCCCGCTGCGCAGACATACCATGCTCAGAATCCAACCCTTCGACTGCGCAACATGGATTGCAACATGGATTGCAACATGGAGTGGTTGACTCAGTTGACCCGGTGGGGTCATCTCCCCTTGGTCAACACAGTTCTTTCGTCTTCGGCGAGGATTGCAGCCCAGATCTCATCCCAAAGACCCAAAGAGTTGCAGCCACACATGACTCGGAATGAACCCTGCGATGGCTGCACTGCACATGGGCATCGCTGTGACATCACATATGCATCCATCATCACTCAATACTCCTCCCCTCACGTTCAAAAGATCCAGCATCAAAGTATCAAGGAAAAAGGACCTGCAAGTGATGCTCTTCTGCCGACTCTTTCTTGCTTTCTTGACTTGTGGCCGACGTTTGGGTGTTCTTCGAGGACCTTCTGGGCTAATCCCAGCGTTCAGAGGGCTACAGTCCGTTCAACAAGGGCTCTGTATCGACTGCTTTGAGACCCATGCTATCTGCTGGCTGTTGGCACTAGTTGGAGCAAGTGATCATGCCTCAGCCGTCATACGTGGTTAATATGCATGACTCAGCAAGGGCCGAACCCTCTCAGTCAGCACTGTTGGATGTCATCTCAGGCAGACACAAGCCCGCTGCGCAAACATACCATGCTCAGAATCCAACCCTTCGACTGCGCAACATGGATTGCAACATGGATTGCAACATGGAGTGGTTGACTCAGTCGTCATACGTGGTTGGTCATGCGCCCCGGCGCATGACCCGGTGGGGTCATCTCCCCTTGGTCAACACAGTTCTTTCGTCTTCGGCGAGGATTGCAGCCCAGATCTCATCCCAAAGACCCAAAGAGTTGCAGCCACACATGACTCGGAATGAACCCTGCGATGGCTGCACTGCACATGGGCATCGCTGTGACATCACATATGCATCCATCATCACTCAATACTCCTCCCCTCACGCTCAAAAGATCCAGCATCAAAGTATCAAGGAAAAAGGACCTGCAAGTGATGCTCTTCTGCCGACTCTTTCTTGCTTTCTTGACTTGTGGCCGACGTTTGGGTGTTCTTCGAGGACCTTCTGGGCTAATCCCAGCGTTCAGAGGGCTACAGTCCGTTCAACAAGGGCTCTGTATCGACTGCTTTGAAACCCATGCTATCTGCTGGCTGTTGGCACTAGTTGGAGCAAGTGATCATGCCTCAGCCGTCATACGTGGTTAATATGCATGACTCAGCGAGGGCCGAACCCTCTCAGTCAGCACTGTTGGATGTCATCTCAGGCAGACACAAGCCCGCTGCGCAGACATACCATGCTCAGAATCCAACCCTTCAACTGCGCAACATGGATTGCAACATGGATTGCAACATGGAGTGGTTGACTCAGTTGACCCGGTGGGGTCATCTCCCCTTGGTCAACACAGTTCTTTCGTCTTCGGCGAGGATTGCAGCCCAGATCTCATCCCAAAGACCCAAAGAGTTGCAGCCACACATGACTCGGAATGAACCCTGCGATGGCTGCACTGCACATGGGCATCGCTGTGACATCACATATGCATCCATCATCACTCAAAACTCCTCCCCTCACGTTCAAAAGATCCAGCATCAAAGTATCAAGGAAAACGGACCTGCAAGTGTTGCTCTTCTCCCCACTCTTTCTTGCTTTCTCGACTTGTGGCCGACGTTTGGGTGGTCTTCGAGGACCTTCTGGGCTCATCCCAGCGGTGGCGCCACAATTCTGAGCAGCTCAAGCTCAACCCTCGCTCCAGTTCCCGGCCTTTGCAGAGGCTGTGGCCGCGTGAAGGGGTGATGAACCTGCCAGGGATCAAGTGTATCCGGTGTATCTCAGCATTCTGAAGCAGTAGTGGGTGTCAAAATGTATTGAAGCAGGCGTGATGAAAGTAAAGTTGATCAAATGTCAAAGCAATCAAGCACATCTAGCTAGCTGATGAACCATCTACTGGCCAGTATAGAAGAATCCAGCCTTCTGTCTTGCAGACAGCGGCTGCTGCTGTCCAACTGGCTGGCCAGGGAGGGGCTGGCGGGGCCTGTAGATGTCTCCGGAGCAGGAGCGAACGTTGGACCCATCCGATGGGTTGGCTGATCGGCCAGCACTGGAGCCCTGTGCTGGGCTCATCACACTGACGGCCACACTTGGCGAAGCAGGGTACATCGGGTGTGAGGGACTGGAACTGCCATGGGAGCCAGCGCTGGCCTGGCGGCGAGCACGTCCTGACAACGGAATGTCAGTGATGATTCCCTTTTGTCCAGCACGCGGACATAGTCTCTCCGCATCCGTGCACTCCTCGAGAACTTTCATGGCACTGTGGTCCTCTGATTCCAGAATTTGGTTTGCAAGCTTGGCCCGCCCCCTTGTGCGCGGCGACAAGGCGGCAGCTTTTACTGCATTGGCCGCAGCATTGGCCGCAGCAGCTGCCACCTGCGCCGCCACAAGCTTTTGCTTGGCCGCCTGCGAGCTGATGCCGTTGGCAGCATTGGCGGCATTGGCGCCGCGCCCCGGCGGCTCGAAAGCCTTGCTTGCAGGGCTTGCAGCCGACGGTGCAGTCGGGGGTGGCGTTGAAGGTGTCGACACCGACTCCGCGATGTGCATCCCAGGCAATTCATACACTGGTGGTTGAAGCCGTGGACGATTCAGCAAGGAGTGTGCCGTTGGCCTTCTGTCGGGTTGCTGGCGAAGCATCGCGCGCGTACAGCGTGATGCTTCCGGGTAGTCGTGACTCAGGTGCTCCGGTAGGGCCACATCCGCACGAACTATCCGGTTCACCAAGGCCTGCCATTTGACAATGCGACAAAAAACGTGCGGACTCGGAAAGCAAATCCCAACCACTGCACATGCGTCCCTACACTATCCTGCATGTGAAAGCGTCAACGCAGATGCAGACACGAATCTGACCTCCAAGTTGGGAGCTGTACCGAAGGGTGGGCGCAGTGCCATCATCTCAAACAGCACACATCCCAAGGACCTTGCAGAAAGGAGAATACAAATATCCAGAGTCTTGCGGGGAAATGATGCCCTCTTCGGTTGGGCAGCGGCTTGTGACCAGGATGTGTTGGCCCCCAGCGCGCTCTGAGGCAGGCGCCAGATGTCGGACTTGTACGAGTACGGCTTGCCTTTGCACACCTTTGCGAGTATCACATTCGGACGAGGTTGGCTCCACCCTTTGTTGCAGTACGAGCGAAGCAATCATGCAGTGCAAGCAGCTGTTGGCTGTTTTGCTGATGCAGACACAGTGCCGACAAGACCCTGGCTGCCTTTCTCCCGAAGTTGAGATCAGCTGAGCAATCATTGTGAAAGCAGCTTTGTTGAACTTAAACAAAGCTAACTGCCATATTCTTGGTGTACACAAATCGATTGCAGTTGGCATTCATTGGCTACACAGTGTCCAAGATAAGACACTAGCCGCCTGTCCGTAGACTGGGCTAAGATGCGCTCGTCCTGCCCCAAAGCCTTTCACGTCCCCGCCAAGACTGGTCAAGCTTCTTGGTACTCCACCTTCTTTACGTCCAACAGCAGCCACCGTCACCAGGCAGCTCAGTTCACGTGGTTGGACCTCCCGCTGCAGTGGTGTTGCCAGTCCCGGCGACGGACGCGCTGCGCCTGCGAGAATGCGCAACAACCATCGCGAGCACCACCGCCCAGAGGTCGTGTCTCAGTACGCTGGAGCTTATTGCAAGTTTTGATTGCTCAGGGGACTTCGGTGTACTTACTGGCCAAGCCGAGGCTGTCCTCGACTACGCAGCATCCACGGTGCTGAAGTCTTTGTCGTTGGCCTGGACTTCGCTCGATGAGTATCTTCAATGCCCAGTATGCAGCAAATCTTGCTACTGTAGTCTGCTAACAAACCATGCACGGCTCATTGTGCCACTTCCTCTCCAATCGAAGCTCCCTCGAATACATTTGAAGCTCGCAATGCTATTGTTCGGGGTCGAAAGGAACTGAAAGTTGTCCAATAGCTTGTGTTGCCAGGGGAGGATTCGGTGTCAACGAAAAGCGAGGGACACCAATGAACGACCATCATGTCGGTGATGCCGGCTCCCGCCTGCATGGCCTGCTTCTCGTCTTCTAAGGATCGCCAAGGTCCTGCGGCATGAAAGATGTGATGTCCGCACTTGATAGAGAAGTTAACCTTGTTGCGTGACAGTCTACCCGAGTACCAGTAGCTCCTATGGCGGTGAACATGCATACGGCCATGAGGCATCAGGCGGTTTCCGTATGAGCACGATGATTCTTGGAGACTTTCTTCCGATTTCTCCGCAAGGTCTGTGGCGGCGTCTTTGTCGAAGCGGAATCTTGGAATAGCGTGACGAAGGCCTGTTCGCTCCTCCTGTACCGAACTGTACAAAGTGGCTTCTGGAGCTGCAGGATCTATCGAAAATGGATCTGCCGGAACCTTGCACACCCGGACTGAGTGCCAGCCGACACGATGGGCAGATTTAGCTCTTCTTGGCCCTTCTTGGCTCCACCACTCTTCAGGTCTTAGAAAAGACGAGTCTTTCACCCACACAGCTAATTAGGCATCTGCCCACCTCACCTCAAAAGACGGAGGCTGCTCCTCTTGAAGGAAGCATCGAGGGAGGTTTTGACACGAATTGTATCCAACAGTCATTGACGGGCATCGGCCAGATGTGAAGTCCAACGCAGGAGCTTGATGCCCTGTCTTGCGCTCTCTCTCACATCGTCGGGCAGCCAGCTTGTCCTCGCGCATTCTCGTCACTACCCCTCCCTCCCTTGCTGCAAACTTCTCTCCGCATCTCCAGAGCATGACAAACAATGCTAAGGCGTGCCAGCTCAACTTCTTCCAAGTCTCTGTAAGACACGCGTCGCCGCGAGTCGGGTGGCAAGAATGGCACTTCCACACCGTCACTGCCGCCAAAGGTTAAGCAATGCCTGCACAAGCGGGAAAGCACGGCATTGACTGCCTTCTGCATCTGAGCCACACGGTCCACACATGACGTATGCTTTGCTGAAATGTACACTGTACACGGCCTCTCCAGGTTCACCACACACTTGAAGCGCCGCCTGACTCAGTACTGTGCAGGAAGAAGGAAAAAGGTAATGGTCCAATGGATCGCGTGCAGAAAAAGGCGCCGAGACATGGACATCTGGTCAATTCCAAGCATGAGAAGGGGCTGGTCCACACCAAGGACACTGAAGTCCTGGGCATACCACCATCTTTTGCGGGGCAGAAGCAGGTACATTGTGAGTATGGCAGCACGGCTGCAACAAAACGGGCTGCGGTGTCACAACGCGGGCAAGGAGCCAACGCAAACTCCACATGACCCATCTTGACCTTGGTTGTTTTTTTGCCCCTGATTCGGCCACATCTGCATCAACCGCGGCAGCAGAATCTCGAGAAGAAACTTAATTGCTGACCAGCTGCAGGAACCCCTCGAAGCTTCCCAAGAATTCTTGCGGTTCCGACGCCAGCTGCAACTCCTTGCAAGGTATAGGACTTCATGAGGCTGCCATCCATGCTTTCGACAACCCGGCCTTGGAACCTGCTGTCCATGTGCCCTTGCAGCTGCAATCTCCGCACGAGCGGCTCTGAGATCACCTCAGCAAGGAAACAAGATGTTACAGAGCTTTACTTTCTTCAAATGTCTTCGAACCGCCAACGCATAGCCACTCTGACTCTTCGGGGCTCTATGTGGGCTGAAGGAAAGCTCGTCTCAGAAGGTCTGGTCTTGTCAAGGCTGCAGCAAGGCCCTTGAAACACGAGCAGGTGTTAGCAGTAGATTCGCAGATTTGTGCATGTCAGCTCGCTGCAGCGTAGGAAACACGAGGACCGGGGGCCGGGCCGAGGTTTGAGCGCCAGTGTCAATCATCATTTCCACAGCCGTGTTTCCCATCTCGCACCTTTGGGCTCATGAAGACTGAAGGATACTGAAGGTGCGTGGACGGCTCTTAGGTCATAGGGCCTTGTAGGGACTCATAATTTGGCAAACCCGACTGCAAGCAAAGCACGCCACATGCAGAAGCTCATCATCCAAGCCTTCCGAAAGAAGTGACGGGTCGAGTCCTGAGCAAGGCATGCTGGCAGCTGAACTCGGGCCCTCGTGGCCGCACTCCGCCTAAGCCTGCTGGTGCGCCCGCCCGCATGGATGCGCCAGGAATCCTGACACAAAGGGGGTCATGAGAGCGGTACGTCACGGTACAACAGCGCAGTCTCAGTGAAAGTCTGCATAAAGTCGGTAAGGAGGTCTGTCAGCAGCCCCAAGGAAGCCTGAACTCGTTTTCGGACGTGCAGCGGGGGCAAGGCACCCGGACGACCTCGTCTTGGGGCTGCCAGCACTTAAAGCAACACAGAAGTTGAGGAGCTGCCAAAGAGATTTTGGAAGACTTGCAACCGGCACACGGAGTTCGGCGCCGCAGACAGCGGCACCTGGACCTGTTCAAAGACTCAAGATGTCTCAATGCGCGAGCCATGGCATACTAGGAGACGCCAGGTGTGAAGCGATGTCTTGAGATAGGGCCTGTGCAGCCTCACCTACAATATACAGCTTGGTGTTTGCTTAGGGATTCTGATCTTACTTGTGCTCTTCTCTGCCTGCACGGAGCTCTGGCATACCCCGCACTGCATGGTGACGACCTGGGTCCAGCCGGTCTCGGGTCTGGGAAACATGACTGCTGCTTGTAGACTGTTGTGCAGTACATGCTGGTGCCACATTCGCGGAAAAAATCGTCGACGCACAACAAGCCAAGAATTCGCTCCCATGTTTGAGGCTGGGGGCACGTTGCTGCGCAGGCAGCCCAAAGCTGCCTTGTCGCGCAAGCCTGAGTGTTTGCATGGTTCAACTTCCTAATCCAGGATTCTTGCAGCCGGCAGCACGCGACGATGCAAACTTCAGATCTACAGCCGACTCGCTCGACTCGCTCGACCAGCATTGGAAGCTGCTTTCGCCGAGACGCATCCGTGCGACTTCTGCATCCTGCTGCTCCTGTGCAGAATGGGCAAAAGACCCTCCTCTCTAGAGCAAGGCTCCATTTCACATGAGAGCACAACATCGGCGACAATGAGTGAGCGGTGCCTCTGAACAGAAGAATCTCAACCCAAGCGAAACTTTGTCCTGCAGCGATCTCGCCAAAGCCTCATCATCGGCGGTGTTGTTGGCACGCGGCTGTCCCTGAGGTGGAGGTGCAGGGAGGATACTTGAAGTCTTGAAGAATCTCGGAGAGATACCGCTAGGGCATACTAGGGCCATCTAAGGCCTTGTAAGGTTTCAAGAGGAGCCATGGCTTGCTTTTCTCGAAAACACCTACTTACAGTACAGTACACCGATGTTGACACATGTTGCTCCTTAAGTCTTGAAGTGATTCGTGGGTTTGTTTGGGCCCGTGGTGCTTCCACGGAGTGGGCTAAGCTCAACTCCCATGCACACCCTACAAGGGTTGAAGATGGTTGAGTGGAAATATTGCCAAGCAGGAATGCAGGGCCCTTGCAGGCTGAGATGCCGCCACCCCCTACATTGCCCTACATGTGGCTGTTCACAATATGCTGCATCAGGAGTGGCGAACTTCGCTCACAAAAGCGCTATCCTGGTTCTTCTTTCCCGCCTCACTTTGCTCCTTCTTCTTCTGTTATTCATGCTGAGGGTCCTTTTGAGGCCTTTGACATAGACAGCTGCAGAACCCTTCAGAACAACACGCTCGCATTCTCACATTGATGAAGTGCAGAGCAAAGGGCCGCGGATGGTGCCGATGGTTCGGATGCGGATCCAGCGGAGCAGAAGGGCCACATGACAGGCAACTCAAATGGTGGCAGCGGCTACAGCCAGAGCTACTGTCTACAGTAAATCCTTCGCTGGCCCCATCGCGCGTTGTGAAAGAGAAGAATGGAACACCGTGAACACATGTGTAAGCCCTACTGTCTTTGCGGTCTGTCCAACAATGTCTGCTGTTGGTCCAAGATTCCGGCAGCAAGGAAACTCAACTGGCGGCGATGCCAGCTGCACGTTAGGCACTTGTGGAAGACATATGAAGACATATGAAGACACTGAAGACAAAAGCAAAGGAGGGTCACGGGATGTGACGGAGGTCCTTCTTGCGGATGGAGCTTCCGCCAGCGCGGTTCAGAGCTGCCTCATGCGCTTTGCGGCGCTTGCGGCTTTCGTCACCGAAAG